AGTTATGACAACCAATGGAAGTGAACTTTAGAAAATAACTCAAACACTTAACAAAAGGCCACTGTGGAATGAGAAAAAAATGTGGCTCCTCCGTGTCCCAGCAGACTCCGCGCTCGGTATCCGTGACCCTAAGGCCATCGAGATAATAGCGGAGGGGGTAGCCTATGCTCGTCCATCTTTGATTCTCCACGCATCCACGGACACAAACGCGCCGTTGTATTTTTGGCCGTGACGCACACACAAAGCGGCTAACGGGGCCTGGGCGGATCCCGCTAGCACACCCGCACACCCGCCCGCCCTCTCGCTCGTCCACTCGCCCGTTCTTCCGTCCATGGGCGAGAATACCCATGGGATAGCGCAAGGGCGGTTCCTCTCCACCACAAAGGCGAGCATGAGGAAAGGAGGATGATGGTGGGGGGGGGGGTGAGTCCCATCACATGAGCAGCTGGCCGGACAAACACTGTTCGTCATGAGTGCTGCGTATGACCAGTCACTCTGATGCCAGATTGTTTGGAGGCAAAGGCAATGGCCAGCCATGCAAGTGCTCGCCGAGGTGCACGGGCAGCCAGTGTCCAGTACTATGATGGATGGCTAACCATGCAAGCAGCTAGACGTACAGATGGCAAGCCATATTAATTACTAGGGTATAGTTGAATAGCCACATTAATATACATGTGGACAAGACGGCTTAGCTCTACTACTAGTGGCTAGCATATAAATGGCATGGCCATATTTGTGGTTAGTACACAGATGGCTGGCCAAATGAGAAACTCCCATACATTGGGCTGGAAATATAAATGGCCGATTGTATAGAGCCACACACCTTGGCTGGATGCACAAATGATTGGCCAAGGATGAGTGAATGCCAACGCCTATGTAACTGTTGACACAGCTGATAACACAAAATAGCCTGAACAGACTGTTTGGATAAGTGCTATTAGCAAGCACCTATGAAGCCCGGAATGGCCAATACCACATCTGGCCATATTTGTCTCCCCAGTGTACTAAATTAAGGCTGAGTCGACCTCGGGGAGACCAAGGACCTGTTTAGATATTTGTCACCGATGTTGACTGCGAGCAAGAATCCAACTTTGTTCATCACGTTCGTAGCAGTGCGCTGACTCACAATCACAATATTTATTTATACTGGAGGAATCCGATGAGCTATAAAGCTCTTTCTCATAGATGCCCAGTAGATGAGAAGTGGTGCAGCCAAAACCACAGTACTACCGCGCCACCCTCCCCATTCTTTGTCTTCGCTGATAAGACACAACAACAACCGCCATTCGCCACTAAGTGTCGGTGACGTCACCACGACGCTTGTGCCAGGCCATGTGCACCTTGAGGCCACGTGAAGTGCTCACCGATCGGACTTTGCCCAGATCTTTGAAGGATTTGTGAGCTCCTCACACAATCCAGCCTGGTTATACCCAGGATGGATCGTAGGCAGGCCAGCCTAAATGTTTCTAACCGGCGAAGATGCTCCATTAGGGGGGTCCACGTTTCGCAAGCGTAGAGAAGGGAGGGAATGACCGTGGCCGAGAAGACCTGAAGCTTCGCGCGGAGCGACAGACCAGGTAAGACGCGCACACACACACACACCCACTTGAGACAATATAAACACTAAATAGCCACTTCAAGGAAGAGCAGCATGGCAATGCCTGGAGTAGGCAACAGAGTAGGTTTCTGGATGGATTTCTGAACAGCAAATTATTGTTGTTGTCTGCCCAGAAGTGCAGGGTTCCTTCGAATATCCCAGGGTTTCTCCAGCTTATGGAAAAATTGTTACAGGTCAAACGTTCTATGCAACACCATCCTAAAACTAATTTGTAACTCCGCAAGTTCCTTTGTTCCTAAAAGTTAATTATACACATTAAGTAGCTAGCTGGTTGCCAGGCCAGGATTTGTCGATCGTGTGCATTTAATTTAAACAATGGTGCAAAGTTTCTTAAGTCTTCTGGCCTATAGCAGTATAAATGGGTACACAAATCCAGACAATTGGGAGGCGCCAGTCACCTTCCTGGGAACACTTGGTTCACAGATGCAACGCGCTCGCGCTCATTGGCCGAGCATGATGTCACCCGCCCGGCGAGGGCTCTCGGCGGCTGTCTTAACGGTTCCGTTCGATAAGAACAAACGTCCGGGCCACCTTGTAGCGCCACGACAGAGCGCTCTGCCCCCACTAAACACACCCACCGGTGTTTTTTTTACTTTTACGTGTAATTCATGCGATAAGAGGCTAATTGGGTGTGCAGTCATCCAAAGTCAGATTCATCAACTGAGTAACGCTTTACAATTCACAGCTCTTCATCTGGATCTTTCTGCAGGAGGAATCCGATGAGCTATGAAGCTCTTTTTGACAGATCACGAATGGATGAAAGTCTTCCCACTACGCCTTTCGGCCATGGGGGTTACTTGACCATACTTCACCACCCTGGTCAGTGCGAGTTTGGAGAGGTGGCCAGAAATGGTTCAGACATCACTCGCCACTGATGTTAGCTGGGCTGCAATCACACTCAGGCATCGGGGTTCGAAGCGCAATTGCACTAACCATTGTGCAACTGCTCCAGCAAATATTAAAACCAGGTCCGATTACGTTGAGACTTACAGTAACATTTTTAAGGCATAACCACTCATAAAAAAAACCATACTGCAAATAGCGGAACCTCAACAAATCAAAGCAATCGCCATTGGAAATGAGAATTCCATTTTTAAAAATTCTGACATTTCATTTTTTTAAAGTAATTCTCATCAGGCTGAATGAGGTAAAGTGCAGTCTCCAACTCTTTACTATCCACCGTTGTCTGGACGTTCTCTTCATGTGCTATAAAGGGCCATTGGCCAAAATGTCGCCTATTATGTATTTTTCCTTTTAAGGCCGCACAGTGTTGCTGACGAATGCGGTGTGTTCGTTGTTACTCATTGTGCTTGTGCACCAGTGCCAACGCAGCAACATCACCAAAGAATGTTTAATCATCAGCCATGGTCAATCCACTGCTGGATGAAGGCCCCTCCCCAAGCTGCCACCATCTCTCAATATCCCGTGATGCAACAATCTGGGGATCGTTGGTTCGCAGATGTTTAACGATGACATCAGCCCATACGAGCTGATGTCATTGTTCCGTCTCCTTGGTGGATACAAAAACGAGTAGACCTATTTAAAATGTAAATTACATGTACAATTAAAATGTACATTTTAAACGAGATTACATAACAGCTTAAAAACATTTGCATTGGTATTGTCTGAATCTAGTCAATGGTACTCAGCTAAGGTCTGTCTGGCCCATGTAAAGGACAACTATGGACCCCCCTTGCTGGCGTCTCCCACAAACCTGAATATCCACAGATGAACACGAATACATAGTATGAATTTGGTGCATGTGGGTAGGAACTATTATTATCCGCAGAAAGAGCCAAAACTTTATTAACTTTTACACTACCGGGAAACCAATTCCGGCCAAATTTGAATCTTGGATTACAGGAAGAATCAGCTAAATAGGAATGATTGCGTATCGATTGGAGACAAAAAAAAACAGTGGGTTAACAGAGTTGTACGATACAGTGCTGTTATGGCACTGTGACTATTCCAGCTGGAACAAAGTTCAGAATAATCAACGTTTGCTTAAATATCTAAAGTCTACATTTGGGCTATTGGCAATTATACCAATCAGAGAGAGCCAAGGGGGCTGATTATGGGTGCTGAATTAATGATGGTGCCTGATAACTTGGGAGGTTTGTTTATAAGGTGATGCTTATTACATAACTGATGATGGTGCCGGATGCTGATGATGGTTATAATGCTGCTGATCATTATCATCATCACCCATCATATGAATGATGATCAAGCTGCTGCTGATGATTTGTTAATAATGACCACCTGGTTACTGATGATCAAGATTATGATTGTTCCCACTGGTGCTGATAATAGCAATAAAAAAGCTGATTAATACTTATCATGATCATCATGCTGATGATGATAAAAGTGATTATCAAAGTACTGCTGCTGTTCATGATTATAGTGGTAGTGAGTCATTCATGTTGTCCATTAATGCTGCTACTCATGATGATAATAACGATGATGGTAATCCATGTTGATGCCGATTATGATGATCGAAGTATTTTAATTATAATGCTGCTGATTGTAGTCAGCGTACTGTATATGCTAATGATGATGGTCAATTATGATGATGCTGACGAGTCATTGGTAAAGGTTCTTCTGCTGCTGCTGCTGATGATGATCGATTGTCATTCAGGAACACGCTTACACTTATTGATTATTATTAATGGTCATTTCTTATGTTGATACTGCTGCTGCCGATGATGATGTTCAATAACGGTGCTGCTGCTGTTAATAACGATGGCCATCTGTGATAATGACCCTTCATGATATTACTGCTGTTCAAGGTAATCATTAATGCCAATGCTTATGGTGATGCTGATAATACTGCAGTGCCCATTTCAACTGGAACTGTGCTGCTGATTAAACTGATGATGATCCTGATGATTAAACTGATGCTGCTGCTGCTGTTCCTGATGTTATGTGAATGCTGCTGCTGCTGCTACTTTCTTATACTGCTGATTCTGCTGCTGATGCTGCTATTGATTCTGCTGCTGATTCTGCTGCTGCTGCTGATTCTGCTGCTGATTCTGCTGCTGCTGATTCTGCTGCTGATGCTGCTGTTGATGCTGTTGGTACTGCTGCTGCCCGATGATAACTCAGATGTGACCGATACTGCTGAAGCTACGGACTGCTGCCGTCGATTCTAGGACTGCTGTTACTGCTGATGATGCCGTTTCTGCCAATTCCGCTGATGCTTCTAATACCGATGCCTGATGTTGCTTCTGTGCATGAGTCTGCTACTGCCAATTCTGTTGCTTCTGCTGCTGCCTGACGCAGCATCTGATTCTGCAGATTCTTCGCCTGCTGCTCATGATGCCGATGCAGCTATCGGATCCCCTCAGCGCACCGCCGTCCACCCCTCTCCCCAGCCCATACGCACCTCCTGCAGGTGCAGCAGCTCGTGTCTGATGGCTTCGTGCTCGGCCTCCAGCTCGTCGTATCTCGCCTGCACCGTCTGCCGCTCCTCCAGCACGGCCAGCCCGTACTCGGCAGCCTGCACCTTCTCCCGGCTCGCCTCGGACAGCTCGCGGCTCAGCCGGGTCACCTCGGCCCGCAGTGTCTCCACCTCGTCCGCGGACTCCATGCCGGCCGCCGGTTGTTCGTCTCCTTCGCCAGCAGTTGAAATGAAATCGAGAAAATTAACGAATTTTTTTGCCGTTTTATTTTTTTTAGGAACCCGATTTTAACGCCGTTGCGCGCTGCATTTTTTCCTCGAGCCTTTGCACATTTTTGTTTATTTTATTCGGTTCTATTTGTATGCTGTTTTGTTTTCAAGCCGGCAGCTGCATTCGAAACACGGAGCCGCAGTTGCATTCAGCCGCCATTTCCCGCGAAGCCGGCTCCAGTCACCGCTAACCCCGCCCACCTCGCCCCTGACCCCGCCCACCTCACCCCTGACCCCGCCCACCTCACCCCTGACCCCGCCCACCTCACCCCTGACCCCGCCCACCTCGCCCCTGACCCCGCTCCTGACCCCGCCCACCTCGCCCCTGACTCCGCCCATTTCGTCCCCGGACTCCGCCCACTTCGTCCCTGACCCCGCCCACCTCGCCCCTGACCCCGCCCACCTCGCCCCTGACCCCGCCCACCTCAACCGTTACCCCGCCCACCTGCGTCCGTTACCCCGCCCACCTCAACCGTTACACCGCCCACCTCGTCCGTTACACCACCCACCGCGTCCGTTACCCCGCCCACCTCAACCGTTACACCGCCCACCTCGTCCGTTACACCACCCACCGCGTCTGTTACCCCGCCCACCTCAACCGTTACCCCGCCCACCTGCGTCCGTTACCCCGCCCACCTCAACCGTTACACCGCCCACCTCGTCCGTTACACCACCCACCGCGTCCGTTACACCGCCCACCTCGTCCGTTACCCCGCCCACCTCAACCGTTACACCGCCCACCTCGTCCGTTACACCGCCCACCTCGTCCGTTACCCCGCCCACCTCAACCGTTACCCCGCCCACCTCAACCGTTACCCCGCCCACCTCGTCCGTTACCCCACCCACCTCGTCCGTTACCCCGCCCACCTCAACCGTTACCCCGCCCACCTCAACCGTTACCCCGCCCACCTCGTCCGTTACCCCACCCACCTCGTCCGTTGCTGTTCGCCTTTTGGCGTCCTCTGGTCTAATAACACCGTTTGAGACGAGGCTCAAAAGAAAGCGGTCTCTGGTGTGAAACAATCAGTTTCAAGGACAATGCATATACTATCAGACTCTTAGTTCTTTCGGTAAAGTCACGTAGGTAAAAAAATGAAATTAAAATAAATAAAAATAAAACAATAAAAATCACGACGTTTCGGAGGCAACACAAGCTTCCGTTTTCAGGTGAAACCGTCACAGCAAAATATCTGTACCTTTGCTGTGACGGTTTCACCTGAAGACTGAAGCTTGTGTTGCCTCCAAAACGTCGTGATTTTTATTGTTTTATTTTTATTTATTTTTATTTCATTTTTTTACCTACGTGACTTTACCGAAAGAACTAAGAGTATGAATCCTTGCAGTCACGAAAGCTTAAAATCTAGAATTATACTATCAGAGTTTCTGTTTTGTTTGCATTCTGACCACAAGTATTGTGGTTAATGCAGACAATTAATTGTTAAAGGTTACAGTTTGGTGTTTTAACATTTCAACACCTGTTTTGTTGGCAGAAAAAGGGGAAAACCTATTCTCATCTTTTGGTACTGGCAAAGGAGGTTCCATGTCGTATGAATTACTCTACATGGAGATACTGTTAGGTTGACACAACGAACACAAATGCACTCAACACGTTCGTCAGTAACACTGCTCGCCCTTTAAAGTAAACATATGAATCGGCAACGTTTTGGGCAAGTCTTCATAATAGCACTTAACATGGGTCCCAGACAGAGTGGATAAATATAATCAGAGTTAAAGACTGCACTTCTTTACACTATGGAGTCTGATGAGAATAACATATTTGGGGAAAAGATTCTGATCATTTTTGTTTAATAGAGTTATGAATAATGACATACTTATTAAAGGCAACTATTTTGTATTACTCGACAGTATAGACCACGACCATCACTCCCAGGCACTTCCGGTCGACAGGATTTTAAAACGTACATTTAAAAAATCATCAGCGTAGTTGTGGAGAATACTGTAGAAGTAAAAAAAAATAAGCAGACATACTATATCTCTTGATTTAAAGCTTTCGTGACTGCGGGGATTCATATTCTTGGTTCTTTCGGTAAAGTCACGTAGAAGGGAAATAAGAAAGAACCAAGAATATGAATCCTACATCTCCTTCATATATCTGTCCCTCTACGTAAAAACATGTTTTACATACTCTTAGGTTTTTTCGGTAAAGTCACGTAGGTAAAAAAATGAAATGAATAAAAGTAAAATAATGAAATAAAATGTTTTACATACTCTTAGTTCTCTCGGTAAAGTCACGTAGGTAAAAAATGAAATAAAAATTAATAAAAAATTATTTCATTTTTTACCTACGTGACTTTACCGAAAGAACTAAGAGTATGAATCCTTGCAGTCACGAAAGCTTCAAATCTATGTTTAACATACCCCATCAACCACACGGCTTTGTTGTTAGTGCAGCAATTGGTTCAAGGCGAGAACAACTGAACCGGTTTCGACTTTCAGTGCCTCATCAGTGGCAGTCAGGTTCAATCAATGCTGGTGAGCTGCCTGGTGAATAGCTGTCAACCCATACGGTTTACCCTATTATTGTACATGGAAATTGAGTTTTCATGTCCATACGGCGTACATCCGTTTCAAGACAAGCAAAAAAAACGTGTACATTTGTTTGTGTTTCTCCCTTGTAATGGGACTTTGTAGAATGAACGTTGAGATTTAGAAGGGCACGGAGTGACCCAATAAGGTCTGAATTATACTCTTTGGTTCATTCGGTAAAGTCACGTAGGTGAAAATAAAATACTAAATGAAAACAACTAAATTTAATCACGACGTTTTGGTCGCAACACAAGCGTCCTTCATCAGGTGGGTACCACCACAGCGAAAACTTCAAATCTAGAAGGTCTGAATTGGTCTGTAATAAGCTAGGCGCTGATAAGGGGTTGACAGGCATGCGGGTGTGTTTCTAGGTAAGCACCCGTTCTGTTAGATTTGCGTCCTAACCCATCCCTCAAAGGACTTTTATCAATTAAAGACGAGCAATTCTTGCATTTACACATCTGGCAATAAATAAAACATCTGTCAGCTCACCAGATGTTGTAGGTAAGGGCCACCACTATGTTAGATTCATTCACATATCTTAGGGGACCCACTAAGAGGGTGCTTGTACTTAGACGTCTGGGGCCGTCCATAAATGACGTCACGCAGACATTTGTGACGATGTGTGACGAGGGGGAGGGGGTTGAGAAATGTGACGTCACATTAAAATGCGCAACTTTAAATAAATATAGACAACACGTTCCACTTAATTAAATATACTTTTTAATAAATGTTTTCTCCTACAACATCAGAGTGCAGCGCCACATTAAATACGCACTACAATGACAATAGTTTAAAGCGATTTGAAGCATGTTTCATTTTGGGGGGGGGCAGAGCTTTGTGACGTCATATTTGAGGGGGGGGGGGGGTCTCTGACTTTTTGTGACGCCGTGTGACGAGGGGGAGGTAAAAATTCGTCCAAATTCGCGTGACGTCATTTATGGACGGCCCCTCTGTCAGCTTCCCCAGCCAGTGACACAAGCGAGCCTGACTGCAGCTGATGAGACACTGAATGTGGAAACCGGCTCAAAAGTTGTGCTTGATTAGAACTAATGCTCGCTGTAAATATACATAGGGCTTTATTGGCTACCGGGATGTGAAAATAAACTTTTATTTATTTATGTGGAAGGGCAGATGTGTGTAGGAGACATCATCTTGGGCTCAGTAACGACACACCACTTTGTTGAGCTATCATTTTTGGCCAAGGTCGTTTATGAAAAATAAGTTAATAGCTCAGTGGGCTTCATCTTCTTGGTTCTTTCGGTAAAGTCACGTAGAATGGAAATAATAAAATAATAAAAATAAAACATAATGAAATAATTCTCACGACGTTTCGGCCACAACGCGTTCAGTTTATATTTCGTTTTTTTATTGTTTATTCTTGTAATGTTCATGACCCGCCCCAACGGGACATGTGAAAAGAGCTTTGCAGCTCATCGGATTCCTCCAGGATAAATAAATAAATATTGCTTTATAAAAACCTACAACGCTTAGGCGACGCTCTTTCCCGACGGACGCTCTCATTGGATACAGGCCGTGTTATGGGCGGGGCCAGACGAGAGAACTCGCTAGTGATTGGCTGGTGCTAGTTTCATCTCCGCCCCATTATTCGCAATGACCAATAGCAGGCGTCGATTGGGAGAGCCGCGCTTATGTGCGTTAGGCAATGTAATGTTATGTTTGTCCACGTTGTTTGCTGTATGAGGAATGCCAAACACCGGGGGCGTAAACATTCACGTTATGAATTTTGATTTAAAGCTTTCGTGACTGCAGGGATTCATCTTATTGGTTCTTTCGGTAAAGTCACGTAGAAGGGAAGTAATAAAATAATAAAAATAAAACATAATACAATAATTCTCACGACGTTCGTGTGCTGTTTCATTCAAACTCTGTCGCCTCGACGGACCTGGTTTTCACCTGAGGACGGCTGCTTGCGTTGTGGCCGAAACGTCGTGAGAATAATTTTATTATGTTTTATTTTTATTATTTTATTACTTCCCTTCTACGTGACTGTACCGAAAGAACCAAGAAGATTCACGTTATAAATTAACTCACCACCGAGTTCATTTGGAATGAGGTCAACAGTGGGGTTCCCACTACCAAGGGTTTTGTAAGGAAGGTGACGTGGTCAGAATGAGCTGGACAAAGGAAAGGCAAGGATGTTAATGCGCCTTTTTATGTAATTGTGTGTAGGGGCCGTCCATAAATGACGTCACGCGATTTTGGATGATGTTTCACCCCCCCCCCTCGTCACACGGCGTCACAAAAAGTCAGACCCCCCCCTCAAATATGACGTCACAAAGCTCTGCCCCCCCCCCCAAAACCATATTTCCATTTTGAAAATAAAACATGCTTCAAATCGCTTTAAACGATTGTCATTGTAGTGCGTATTTAATGTGGCGCTGCACTATGATGTTGTAGGAGTGTTATAACAATTAGTGTTGTTATAACAATTCTATATTTAAAGTTGCGCATTTTTATGTGACGTCACATTTCTCACCCCCCCCCCCCCCTCACCATTGGAACCCCCCCCCTCGTCACAAATGTCTGACCCCCCCCCCAGGTGCGTGACGTCATTTATGGACGGCCCCGTAATGCTTCTTCTTTCGTTTGGCGGGAAGATTGTTCATAATAATGGTCGCGAAAGCCTACGTGTTGAACTGGGAAGATTGTTCGGGAAA